CCCCCCCCCACTTTGCGAATTAAAAAAGAAGTCACAAAAACAAGATACGTTAAATCGTCGTTAATCCGGATCGAAACACGAGAAATGCAGTTCATATGGCAGACAAACACTTGACAGTTCCCCCAAACCTGCATCTTTACGTTCAAAAACAAGTACAGCTTCTGAGTCTTCTATCGATGAACAAATCTCTCGTCTTTATGTAGTTTTTAAATTAAGGTTCTACAGTGCTATTTATTTTCATCGGCATTGCTTATGTCATTAAGCTCTCCATTTATTTGTGTTCCAAGTGTTTCTCCTCTCACAGGGATACTCTCCGTTTCAGAAATCCGGGGGCGCAAGGGTTCCCTGTATGTTCCACAACTGATGCAGTCAGAACACCGCGTGCAGTATGTAGGGTACACATACATTTCATATAAATCTTTAGGATGAATGAAGAATTCCGCATAAACCATGACAAGCTGTACAAAATTACTGTTACTATAAACCCCTGATGATTATCTTTTGAGGCCGAAACAATCTGGAGTACTGACAAAATAAATATAATTTTATTTTGTAAATTTTGGCAGTGTCTATTAAATTATTTTAAATTACAGTACATTACAACACTACACAATTCAATTAAAAAAACTCTATTTATGGATTTCATATTCTGATATTGTGTTATGACACCGTGCAGTCTTGTATGTGGACACACTACAATGTAGATAGAAAGCCGACGTCGCTGTAGATTATTCAGCGCTCCTGCTTCTTATCCGACAGTTGTTAGGTTCGAATCTTGGCCGAGAAAACAGCTATTTTGAGATTTTTGTGATTTTCCTCAGTTCCCCCAGGAAAGTTTACGGTTGAAACCTCAAATTATGTCAGGACCGTTTCCTTTCACATCCATTCCAATTCATTATCCGCCAACATTCCTATGGTTCGACGCGGTGGCTTCGGTGCGACAGCGTTGTTGTTGATATGAATACATGAATAAACGAAGACAGGATCTCTTGCGGTGGTACTCATCTACCAGATTACACGGTGTCATGACCCAGAGGATGGCAATATAAATCTGAACATGTGTGCACCCCCATCTTGCTCACAGATGATTACATCGCAGCATGTACACGTAGATCCGTTGCTAGTATTGAATCTGTGAACAACGACCGTTGAGACGCAACAATTTCATAGCACACACCAATGGACTAACTCGGAAGCGGTTTTCTCTACGCGGTGCGTGCGACAGCTGCACAACGCAACAATAGATGTTTTCTGTGTGGTCCGTGTCGAGGTGTTATACGTAGGACAAGTCTACAATTTAGTTAATTGGACTAATGTGTTGAGGTGCTCGGTTCGAGAGTAGGCAGCGACACCAGCTGCAGTGATTGAAGCATTTCGTATTTTTCCTCATTCCTTTCAGGTAAATACCAGGATTGTATCCTGAACAGGCCATAATCTCTGCCTTCCAAATCAGTCTCCTACTCTCTGGCGCTGTAATGTCTCGATGCTGAATATCCCCTCAGACGACAGGCAGATTATCGACATTAAGAGGCGCACTGCAGCGCTGTCGATATTACGTCAGCATCAGTCGGTATTGCAGCGTCGACATGCTCCTACAGACAGGCTGTAGCACTAGGTTACTAGCCGGAAGGTTTCGGGTTCCGATGAGGTCATTAGACTTTTCAATTGACCTCATCCTTCCAGTCGCAGTATGGCCTTGGGGTCGACTTAGCCTCTAACAGAAATGAATACCAGGAATATCCTTGGGGTTAAAGGGCGGCCGTGGCGTAAGGCTGACAACTTCACCCCCATCTGTGAGCAGATTTTCTAGAGAAAATGTGGGAGCCTCGACGTCTCACAAACCTATGAACCTCCACGGCCTGTTACAGAGATTATTTTTTCTTACTTCACCCGCGAAGTTTTAGGGAAGTCAGTAAGATTTGGGAACCCCAACAGATGCTATGCAACAACTGTACTGCAAAAGAGGCACGGTGTTTCCTGAGCGGCACGTGCCGATGTGCTATAAGCAGGATTAGTGAGTGCATTGGAGAGGGTTGGTGTGCTAGATAACCGCTGGGATTCAGTCCTTGTGAGAAGCTGGTAGCTGAGGCCGGGGTCAGTTAGGGAAGCTAGAGGAAGAGAAACGTCCGCCGTTGAAAGCCGCTACCAAGCAACGACTAGTAAAAACATGACTGCGGACACTAGTATGTGTGTGTAACAGTGAACTGTAAAGTATAGTCACGC